GCGTGTGCGTGTGCGTGTGCGTGTGCGTGTGCGTGTGTGTGTGCGTGTGTGCGTGTGTGTGTGCGTGTGTGCGTGTATGTCTGTGTGCATGTGTGTTCGCGTTTGTGCATGTGATGTGTGCGTGCGCGCCCGCGAACGCGAGTATGTCTAAAACTACTACAAATTTGTAAAGCGACAAACGCCATGGGAATCGCTACGCGTGTGCAGTGTCATGTTGTAAGCTTGCCTAACCGCCCACATTCCTGTTTCCCGCTCCACTCAGTCACCATCTCGCTTACCTACATTAACTGTCTAGCTCTCATGGGAGCTAACTAACATCTATAGGCTATTTGTATTCGAGTCTGCCTGTCGTGACCGTCCGCCAGTTAGCCGGCCTTCCTTCGCATCGTCTGTAGTCTGTAGTCTGTAGTCCCGCCTGCGTGCCTGCCTATACCTGCTTGTCTGTTATTCGCAATGTGGTGTGTGCGTGTGTGTGTGTGTGTGTGTGTGTGTGTGTGTGTGTGTGTGTGTGTGTGTGTGTGTGTTATGTACCTGTGTCCCCACTGTGTGTTATGCAGGCGACCTGTGACCTCCTGCGAGTCATCATCCGTGTGCTCTACCTGAGCAGGAAGCTGAAGAGTCAGCTGGAGGGAGGAACGCGCGAGATCACCAAGGCCGCACTGAGCCTCAGCGAGCTCGGTGAGTCATCGGGGGTGGGGGTGGGGGGGTGATAAGATATATACAAGATGAGATGTATTTTAGTAAGATCCCTGCATACGTGTGCATACTTACTGAGGGTGACTCACGCATACAACCCAAACCAATGTTCTCATAGGAATTTAGTTCCGATTTTTGCAGAAATGAATTTTAAATGAACGTGAATCACGATCTTAACCTATGTCATGTGATGAACTATAACGATCATAAGCTGTGAACCTCCCTGCGTGTGACTTATGTTCCGAGGCGGAACGACATCGCAAACAGTACATGCTCTTGACCGTTCCGTCTGCCGCAGATTACCTGACGAAGGACGTCGACCTGTCTGGAGTGGACGTGATCGAGAAGGACCAGAAGTTCATTAAGCAGGCTAGACGCGATGTTGACAGCCAGGCCCAGAGGCTGCTCAAGCAGGGCATGGAGTCACAGGTGAGTCGTCTGTCAGAGCCGACCGCCCATTCTCACCTGCAGTCATCTTTGTGGATCTGCGTCAACGTTACACCTCCGACTAGCTTCGGGTTTCCACCTGCAATCATCTTCTTGGATGTGTGTAGATTTTCACCTGCAACTGTCTCCTCGCACCTGTGTGACTGTTACACCTGCAATAATCTCGTTACACCTACGTCTGCATTAAACCTACGACACTCTCCTTACACCTGTGTCACTGTTACACCTGTAAATATGTCCTCACACCAGTTTCAAAATAACCAGCGACTATCTTCTTGCACCTGTCAGATTCACTCCTACAACTATATCCTATCACTTGTTTCCAAATAACCCGCGACCAAGATCCTCTTCCACCTGTGTTATATTAATACCCATAGGTGTCGTCTTAAGGGGGGCTTATGTCAGGCTTGCGAGCCGACTCGACTGGAAGCAACTGGATTTCGAGCAACTGGAAGCGATCGGCAGGGACTAGTTGCGTCCAGTTGCCCACTGTTCTATTCCGAGCAACTAGTGGTGGCCAGTCGCAGGCAGTTGCTCGCAGTCGACCAACCTAAGCACTGCAGTCGCAGTGAATTGCAGCCAGTTGCTTCCAGTCGAGTCGGCTCGCAAGCCCGACATAAGCCCCCCTTTACCCCTGTAGTTATCTCGTAGTGGGTTAACTACAGTGTTTTGACACACCAGTCTTTCACTGGCCTGCACTGTTAACTTAACGTATCGCATAAGTTGCAATGGTAATACCGTCTAGTATTAATATGAGATGCTTTCCACTTGTTTGCAGAATCAAACACAGGTGGCGACAGCTTTGCAGGTCTTCTACAATCTTGGCTGCTTGAAGGATACCGTTGACAAAGTTGTCGGGTGCTGCAGGGAGGGTCTTCACGAAAACGTGAAGACAGCTCTGGACATACGTGTGATACAGCAGTCTCAACCACCACCAGACAGGGGAAAAGGTATATATACGCAGACACGTGTAGGCACGCATGTGTGTGTGTGTGTGTGCGTGTGTGCGTGTGTGCGTGTGTGTGTGTGCATGTGTTTGCGAGCACGCGCATGCGTAGGGTTGTGTTTTGTGTTGTGTTGTATGTGTGTAGGGGTGTGTGCGTGCATGCGAGAGTGCGTGTGTGTGATTCTGTGATTGCACGTCCCAGCTTAAGCTTACAGGCACTCAGCATTGCCTAGAGTGAATCTCACCAAATTCCTTCACATGTACATAATAAGTACTTGCTGTTATTCGCTGAGAAATGCAGGAGGTCTCAGACTATAAATAAAATACTATATAATTAAATAATATACTCGACCACATCTCTCAGGAGGTCCAGGACGCGCAGCCATGCCGACGCCAGGAAATACCGCCGCCTACAGAGCCACCTTGTGGACGAACATGGCGAAGTTAATGGATAATATTTACTCGACCTGCAGCCAGGTGGAGCACCTGCAGAAAGTACTGGAGAAGAAACGCGACCCCGTGACTCACGTCTGCTTCGTCGACGAACTACTTAAAGTAAGACTGAAGCTACTATGATTTTCCATTTCTTATGATCTGTAGCCATTGTTAAGCCATTTTTGTTAAGCCATTTTTGTTAAGCCATTGTTAAGCCACAGTTCAGCCATTTCTTATAATCTACTAATCTTTTATTATAACATGGTCAGCACTGTTGTGTTGTAGCTCGTATATAATTACATTGCTGTGCTCTGATAATGATTGCATTACAATCTTCTTGCGTTGAAATTATATTGTTTTTAAACAATTTACACATATATGAATATGAAAATAGAATGAGTATATAATAGTATATAGAATGCTATATAAATAATAAAATATATATATAGAGAGCGAGAGAGAGCGAGAAAGAAAGAGTGAGTGCGAGAGATAAGTGAAATCAAATTGAACGAGGCCGGTGATTTCCCTCACCTATCTCGATGGTCCCTGCATGATTAGCAGTCTAATAGATAACGAAATTGATACGATTTTAAATGCTGGTGTTGTAGAATTACATTTACATTTCGACAAGAATAAGTTATAGCTAGTTTTTGCTGGAAGTTGTCCCACACCTGTATTTCTTGCAATGCTTTATACAGGACGGCAGCATCACAATTGTGCAGTCATTCTGGGAAGCAGTCACGCAAATTCTTACCGAAGAATTTTCAAAAGCAGCTAATGGTAAGGAGCACTGGTAAACATGGTCTGTTCATAGTAAGTGATTAATAAACATGATTGGGTAATCAGGAATTCTCTATCAATTTCGAAATATCTGGTAATCGAACAGATCCATCTGGTAATGTGACAATTTCTTAGTTATTCTCATTATTTCTATATTACCAATGAGGTGTGCAATGCAATCTAGTTATTATTGCTAATTAATATAAAAAATCTAGGCAATAACGACTGTCATCCATTTTTTATTTTGATTTTGATTTTTGATGTCATTGTCAGTACGAATGTTTAAACTAGTCATGATTAAATCTGGGCTGAATGCAGTCTGGGCAGAGAAACATGAAGTGCAGTAGTGGTCCTTCCTTAAGATTATCAAAGAGTCTTTTATCTTTTATTTTATCTTTCCTCCCCTCCCAGTGCCACATTCTCTGCCCAGTTGGAATGCACCCTGATCTGCATTTCTTAACTTAGGATCTCTCTCAACCTGGGGTGTCCACGTTCAGGTATACGTAACTAGATAGCTAATCCTTTCTGTACTTTTCTTCCGGTTCTAGTGTTTCCTTTGTTTTCAACACACTTTTCAACATAAGCTTGTAAATTTCTCTATGAGACTTCATCTGATTCAGGCGTCTGTGATACGTCCTACATCCTAGTACATCGCAAGCAGAATAACCCAGAGGCCCTTTTGTTCGTTATTGCGATTGCTTAACGAGTGTTAAATGGTTTCAGACTCGTCATTCATCAAGCAGGCATTTGATGGGGAATACCCGAAGCTGCTACGTCTTTATAACGACTTATGGAAGAGGCTGCAACAGTTCACGGCCAAGCTGACTATCTCAGCATCACTCGACGGGCTGGAAGCGACCGGCAACAGCGCCCTCTCTAGTGATTACAGGTAAACTATCCCGTAATTACGTCTTTGTTGTTGCATTCTAGCCGGTTGCATGATTCATTCTGAAGACGATCAGCACACTGAATATATATTATTTATATAATATGTTATTAGAATATTTATTTATATAATATATTATTCGAATATTTATTTATATAATATATTATTCGAAAACAACAGAAGCAGTGACGTGAAGCACGTAATGAGAATAAATATTAATAATTAATAATTAAAATAATTAATAGGATAAATGCACCACAGGATGGCGGCATTTTCCCGTGAGCATCGACGCTTGCTGGAAAACACATTTACGGGGGAATTTTCCCAAGGAAGATTTCGCAGTGAATGTGTATGGTCTCACGTGTTGTTTTCTCGTGCGATTCCAGCCCCGAGAAGGCGATGCGGCATTCGCTACTCGCGTTCGAGAACGCCTACTTGTCTCGCTCGCTGTCTCGTCTCTTCGACCCGATCAACCTCGCCTTCTCCTCAGGACCGTACAGCTCGCCCACTAACGACGAGGTGGATGGGATAGTAAAGACCGTCGCGAGGTACAGGCCCCAAGGCGGTTCAGCTAGCTCACATGTATCATGAATGTATTCGCGGTCAGGGTTTCCGCCAGGAGGGGAAAAGGGTAAAATTCTATACCCAAAAATATTTTCTGGCAGAAACCCTAGCGGTGTCACATGCAACCCTGCATATTCGTCAAGGACTCAAGAGTATAGAGTTGATCGTTGCCCAACTAAAGAAACAATAACATAGTACTGTAATCAAGGCATCCGAATTTCTTAACGCGAGCTTAAAGACTACACGTGTGTATGAAATGAAGATGATATTGTGTACATATTTGCATTTTTGAGAATTCACATTGTTAATATGAATAATTGTGCTAATAATTAATTAATTAATTGAGACATGATTAATTCAATAACATTGTTATTCATTCTGCGTGTCCTTGCAGTGAGCTGAATGTAGCTAACGTGGACACCTCTCTCAGCATCATGATCGGAAAAAATGTCGCAAAGACCATCAAGCTTTTCACAGGTGTGCATGTGACGTCATTTTAGGGTGATTCGGAAAACACCACCTTTGTCCCTGAAAACTTATTGCATTGCTATGCCGTGATGAGGTTTGTGATGCTGAAAAACTAGAAAAACTAGTTGAGCAAACAATTATTGATTTTCAGTAGTCACCTATCATATTCTGCATTGTATTGTTCAAAGGAAGTGTGGTATATACCGTGTGTGGAGATGAGTGGGTTTGTAACCCCTAGAAGAGTTGAACTTTTCTCGCTCAATCAGTATCTATCTCAGTTGAGTGGATAGATAGATGAATGAATGGATGAATATATAGAATTGTTACATTGAAGATGTATCCAATTCACTACACCCGGCTGGGCAGCTGTGGCTAGTTGATTGTCTGTGGCAGCAGTGTGCGAGCTATGAAGTGTGACCTATGCGTCATCTGAGACCTATGATGTCATCTGAGACCTATGATGTCATCTGAGACCTATGATGTCGTCTGTGACCTATGATGTCGTCTGCGACCTATGATGTCATCTGTGACCTATGATGTCGTATGTGACCTATGATGTCGTATGTGACCTATGATGTCGTCTGCGACCTATGATGTCATCTGTGACCTATGATGTCGTATGTGACCTATGATGTCGTCTGCGACCTATGATGTCATCTTTCATTTGTAGTGAAATGTGAGCAGCTGCTGTTGATGGATAGTGAAGCTACGCAGGTCATCGGACCGGCTACTGAGAGCCAGAGACAGAATGCCGGTGTCGTGAATACCTTGTATAGATTTCACAAAGCCATAAACAAGGTGCGTCACGTCAGAACGATCACTCGGCAGAATGTTATCATTCCTCTGAAACAAATCCAATCGTTGCCGAAATAAGCTCTTCTTAAACCAGTGGTTCTTAACCTTTTTTGAGTCATGGACCCCTTTGAGAATCTGGTGAAAGCTACGGACCCCTTCCCAGAAAAATGCACATAAGCATATAAACACAAAATATTGCATACAATGGGGTTCACGGACCCCCTGAAGTCCATCCACGGACCCCTTTGGGGGACCGCAGGACCACAGGTTAAGAACTCCTGTCTTAAACGGTGAAGTATGCATTCAAAACTTCAATGTCATTGGCTGTAGGTGCACTGGTGTGTAATATTGCTCGTAATGTATTTGTGCGTAATATTGGAGATGTATTATTGGATCTCGGTGGGAGAATTAATGGTTATGTGTTTTCAGGTGCTCTCTGGTCTATCCGGGTTTCCACCGCCAGCTATAAGCTACATGCAGGAATCGCTAGAGGTTAGTGGCCAAAATCAATGGCTCTCCAAACTCACGTCGTTGACAGTGGTCTTTATGATTACCGCATCGTTAAACGTATTGCAGACTGTGACTTCTCGATCAATGTCAACGTTTTAATTCAAATAGTCTAAATCAATTTTGAGTTATCTTGTATTTTCCGTTTATGAGTGCATGCATTTAAGAGTGGTTCTTCCCGGACATGCGCTGTATTCATGGTATGTGTTTGTACACCGATCGCGGACCGGTAGCGATGGGTTAGGCTGAGTGTGATGTTTACTTGCAGGATGTTGTAGAGTTGATGCAAGCAGCACTTCAGCCTCTTCTGATGGCAGTGTCGGACACAACCGGTGCCATTGTCCTCACCCTGCACCAGGAAGACTTCTCCCAGTGCGTCTGCCTCAGCACTTTTACTATCTTTTCATTCACTCATTCAATCTAATGAGCATATTTCTGATTGCTATACATATTCCTGATTGCTATACATATTTCTGATTGCTATACATATTTCTGATTGCTATACATATTTCTGATTGCTATACATATCTCGATTGCTATAGAACCA